CAGCACATCTCATATAGTGTCAGTCTATCCTACTTTCCTTAAATGAGGAACTGCCAAGTTATTTGCCGTCACCTCCAAAATCCATGTAAATAAAACAACCAACATAAATCGTAGAATTGTAGAATTGGAAGGGGTGTCAAGGGTCATCTAATCCAACCTCCTGCAATGCAGAAATCTCAACTAGATCAAACATGACAGATGGCCATCCAATCTCTGCTTAAAAATCTCCAAGGAGGGAGAGTCCACCATCTCTTGTGGGAGTCCATCCCACTGTTGAACAGCTCTTACTGGTAGAAAGTTCTTCCTGATGTTTAGTCAGAATTTCCTTTCTTGGAACTTGAAGCCATTGCTTCAGATCCCAGCCTCTGGAGTAGGAGAAAACAAGCTCTCTCCACCTTCCATGTGCCAGCCCTTTAGATATTTGAATATGGCTATAATATCTCATCTTAGCCAGGCTAAATGTAGCCAATTTCCCTCAACCATTCCTCATAAGGCTTGGTTTCCAGACCCTTGATCATCTTGGTTGCCCTCCTCTGCACACGTTCCAGCTTGACAATATTGTTCTTAAATGGTGGGGCCCAGAACTGGACACAAAATTCCAGGTGTGGTCTGACCAAGGCAGAATAGAGTGGTACTATTACTTCCCTTGATTGGGACACTATATTTCTGTTGATGCATCTTAGAATAGAATTAGCTTTTTACCTTTCTTTCTTTTTTTGCTGCTGCATCATGCTGTTGACTCATGTTAAGCTTTCAGTCTACTAAGAACCCTAGATCCTGTTCACATGTACTACTGACAATCCAGGTGTCCCCCATCTTATATTTGTGCAGCTGGTTCTTATTCATAGACCCTTTAATACAATACTTTATCTGGCTCTGTTTGAAGGAAAATAAAAGCTGGAAAAAACATTTTTAGTTTTAAAGTGTAGATAAAATGGGATTCTTCCAAGTGCATGGTACTTTTTTATAAAAAAAACAACAAACACCTTTTGTTTTCTTTAGAAGATCTGGATTTTAATTTGCAGGAAGGAAATCCATACCTAGTTGCATTGAGCCAGCTCCATGCTGATCTCTCAGACTTTCGGGGTGAAGGACTGATGTCTTGCCTGCCGTTCAGTAATTGTGGAGAGAGATTTCAATTCCAACCTCTGCAGGAGCAGAAGAGCTTTGTTTAGAATTTCCTATCTACTGTGTATGAAATGAATTGGCTTAGAAGAGGCTGGATTTGTTCCTCTTCATTTTAGGAAAGATTCTGTTTCTAGGATAATGTCCGCAAACTAAGCAGTGCCCACAAAGACCACACATGATTTCCATAAGAAACACTTACCGAAATGTGCAGCACTGGCAAATTTCCCAGTGAAGTTACTCTGATCACAGTACTGTGTGCTGTTCTCTGCACTACCCTGACACCCTTCTGACACCTCTGTTATGTATAATTTTAGAGAGAGGAGATTTCATTTTTAGTAGGCCAAAAAAAAGGTGGTCACATAGATGCCGTTCTAAAATGTGCATATGTACAGCATGACACCCCACCTTTCTACTAGAAGCCTGGCTGGTATTTGGGCTAAAACACATATATAGAGTTGCCATGGGGCTATATGCATAAGTTCCAACATTTTGGGAGGGCAAACTGGGACACACCACCACCACCATCTAACTCACCTGCTCTCCATGCTCCTTCTCCGCCCCTGCTCCCTGCTGCCTGCTGCCTGATCTTCATGCTTCTTCTCCCCTCATCTGATCTTCATGCCATAGCTGCCTCCACCCACCACAACCACCCACTGCCACCTTGCCTTCACCAGCTTTCTCTCCTCTGCTGCCATTGCCACCCCCACGGCAGCAGCTAGACCTCAGCCTCCTCAACCTTCTCACGGCTTCCTCAGCCTCGCCACAGCTGCCAGAGGTGGTGCACCTACTTATGGAACTGTGATTCTGGATGTGCTGCATCTGCTTCCGGGGGTATGGCGGTAGCAGAGCCGCAGAGGCAGAGGCCACCCCAGCCACCCCAGAGGAGGTGAGGAGGCTGTAGTGGGACACCCAGGATTTCAAACAGAAGCCAACATGGATTCTATGAAGCCAGGGTGTTCCGCTCAAAGCTGGGCGGTTGGATGGTATGTATATGCATGAACAGTCTCTCTATGGCTGAATGAATCTTGCTTTGGTCATAACATATATAACTATTTGTCATGTAGTTCTGTCGTGTTCTTGTAAATCTCTTAAATTCATCATAGACTGCAAAGAAGGTGCAGCCATAGGCAGACCCATAACATACATTTAAAACGCATTTCATGCAAAACAGATGTATTTCTTCAAGGAATCCTGGGAACATAAATCACAGTTTTCAATCCTGATCAGTCAGCTCCACCATTAGGCAGAATGAGGTGGCCACTTCAGGTAGCAGAATTTGAGTGTTGTGAAAAGGAAGCAAATTCATGACTATTCAAGTTGTTGTTGTTGTTGTTGTCGTCGTCACCATCATCTATTTTTCCAGCAGGAAGGGGGGTGAGGTGCTTATGGGATTTTCTGTTTCAAGTGCCAAAATGACATGACTGTCCTTTGGTACTATGCACCTAGATGTGAAGCATGGTGCCTCCATGTGGATTTGGCTCTTACAAGGCAGCTTGTGAAATATGAAGTATTTTATTTGCTTGGTTCACTTGGTTATTGACATACTGAGCTGCAGTAATTGTTAGCTGCCTTGGGTGTCCCTAGCGAAATGGAAAGGTGGGAGATGGATAGATAGGTGGAGTTAGGTAAATATTTGAAGGAAATAAAATTCAAAGCTCAGTTATGACCAAAAGAAAAACAATAGCCGTAGAAAGATAATTTTTTTAATGAATGTTCCTTTAGAAAGTGTCACTACTAGGGGTGTGAGCTGCCCAGTTTGGGCCAGTTGGCTGATAAGTAGCACATTTATTTATTTCAATGTATATTATATACATTTCAGACGTCCTAGCTTGAAATGGAGCTTGCAAGACAAGCCTATGGTAGACTCAACACTTTGCTTCTTTGTGGGGGGAAAGGGGTGGGGTTTACACTGACCATAAGCACTCATCATGCCATGCTTACAATGGTTTGGTGGAGCTGTTTGCTTTTTTTGCTTTTTCTTTTTACATTTTCAGTGTCACTTTGAATGTTAAATTTATATTTCAAGCATAAGGTAAATGCTTACATCCTTTCTCAAATGTTGGGCAGGCTCCTGCAACATTCCAGCATCCTTTAGGGCAGAGTGGGGGTTGGGTATGAATCACACATTTTCCTGTGTATAATAGTGGTGCTGAAATTTCAGATTTTTTAAAAAAGCATTCTTTTCAAGCAGTAGCATTCAATTAAAAAAAGCAGAAATGTCAAACATCCCATAACCCATTTGAATAGCTGATGAGCTGGGGTGAGCAGGGGTCTATAAATAAAATGGATAGGCTCCTGTTTACAATACTCTGTGCTATAAGGTTTTTCCAGAGCAATCATTACTCAATGAGTGAATTGCTATTTCCATTTTTTACTGTCCACCAAAGGGCACTTTGGAGAATATTCACTGAGAATACACTGCCAAAACCACACTTTGGCAGCTCGTAACACTGCGATTGTGATTCTGAAAAAGTACAGTAACTCTCTGAGGGAGTTCATCATACTAGATTAGTGAATTCTTCATTGCAGCAATTTTCTGCCCAATAATGCTAGTAATTATTATCTCTAGTACAGTATGAATAGCTGTTGAACAATGTACTCCACACTTTCAACTGAATCAAATGAGCAGCAGTTAGTTTATTTTAATAATGTGCTGCAAAAAACGCAACCATTGCACTTCAGCGAAGTGGTATACTTGTGTTTTTTAAAAAAATAAAAAATAAAATACACCAAGTGGAAACTGATGGCCCACTTGGGATGGAGAAGGATGAACAGATAATGAAGCACACCTTCCCTGTGAAATGTGAAAGTGATTTGATGAAAGTCTACATTGTAAGTCTCAAACAATGCCCATTTCACACAGGAAACATCTGCAGTGGCACACTGTGAGCCCCAAACAAAAATAGAATAGAAATCAAATGCAGCTAAAGAGCTTCCCAACTTCTAGAAGGCACTGAATGAGTTTTTAATGTGACAAAAGCTGGTGTAGTGTAGAAGCTACAGGGTAGCAAATTAAAACAGTGTACGATAACTGATTTCATTTCAAGAGGACACCTGCAAACCCTTTCCATGTGAAGTGTTTAGGGCAGTATAATGGCAAGTGCATTGGACTAAAACTGAGGAGATTCATGTTGAAATCCTCACTCAGCCATGGAGCTCGCTTGGTGAACTTGGACCAATCTGTGCGGCTAAACTTGTCTTGTAGGGTTGTTGTGAACATCATATGGGAGAGAAAACCCTGTACACCGCATTGAGCTCCATGGAGGGAAAGCAAAGCATAGATATAATAAAAAACAATTATTTATTCAGATTAATAAAAAGAGCTTAAAATACTTGATGGACAAAGTCTCCTAAACCTGTGGAAACCCACTAACACAGCGTGGGACCAGTCAGAGATAGACTCTTGTTTGTCTTCCTCGCCCCGCCCTCCGCAAGAGCTGTTATTAGAGAAATGTTCTGTTACAATCTAGTACCTTGACATGGGAGTCTCAGGCATTTTGCTGATGTTTGAACTTTGCTAAGCACACACACTGAAAGAGTTTCAAACATTGCTTTAAGTGAGCATTTTAAAGATTCTACTGTACTCCAGGCAGACCCTAAAAAGAAATGTCAGAGCCATAAGTGCCATTGTGGAGGACGTTGATGAGATGTTCTCAGTGGGCTATTTGCTCTGAATCTCCACTTGAAAATGTCATGGCAGCCAAAAGCGGAGAGAGACTTGCTTTATGATGGCAACAAGAGCAGATCCTCTCCGTTATCAGCTTTCAGCTTTATAAATATTTGGCTCATTTTTATCACTACTATTGAATAATTGTAGTTACAGGTAGGTAGCTGGGTTGGTCTGCCGTAGTCGAAACAGGCAAACAAAAATTATTCCAGTAGCACCTTAGAGACCAACTAAGTTTGTTATTGGTATGCATGCACATGAAAGCTCATACCAATAACAAACTTAGTTGGTCTCTAAGGTGCTACTGGAAGAATTTTTTTTATATTGAATAATTTGTTGGTATGATTGCTTTCCATGTTGAGGTCAGAAAGTCCCCATGGACTAGGGACCAGGAACTTCAAGCACAGGGGCAAAATTGTTGCCTAAGTGTTGTCTCTGTCCTTTGGACTCTCCCCAGTCACACATCTTCTCTCAAGGACACAGCTCTCATTGGCCCTGCTATGCACTCCCCTGGGTGTTTTTGCCTTGTTGGAAAGGACTTGTGCTTGTCTGTATGGAGGATTGACAGGAGTTTGTGCTTGTACAAACTAGCCTACTAGACAAAGGAAAGTTCATATTTGTTGTTATGACCACCTTTGCCTCCAGCCCTCCCCACCAATGACATAGGAATACAGCCTTCAGGCTGAAAATGGTTCCCTATTCATGTTGTGGATCACAAATGGTTGGGTTTCTTTTCTTGAAAAACAGCAAAATTAGAAAACAGAATACTGGATTATTTTGATGGAAACACAATTCACTATTGAATCTGGCCATACTTGTGAACCTGGCCATGAGGTTATTTGACGGTGACCTTTCTGGTGTTTTCTGGCTTTAAAGAATCATATTGGTTGTTGTTTGGGTGAGTGATTGGCAATCCTAACTCTGGAGGGTTAGCTAAGGTCTAGTCAGCCTTGACTTGTGATGCATTTGGACAAAGCACCCTTGGTAGTTCAGTCAGTTGAGCATGAGACTCTTCATCTCAGGGACATGGGTTCGAGTTCCATGTTGGGCAGAAGATTCCTGCATTGCAGAGGGTTGGGCTAGATTCCCTTGTGTTCCTGTCCAACTCTACAATTCTATGATTCTAGAAAAGCAACTTTGCAGGGATTAGCTGCTTCAAAATTCAGAGAACAGTTTCACTTCCTTCTTCCCCCGTTTGACAAGCCCTCTCCCAATCCTATATTCTTTATCCTTAATTGGTAAGAGTGTCTGGGGATATTTCTCACCTCCTATGCAACTGCTTAACTCTCACCTGACCTCACCTGGCCTGATTTACTCATAACTAGGCACGGGCGAATCTTCCAATTCCGGTTTCTCTCAGTTTCTTACTTTTCCAATCTTAAGCTCAATTCCCCACATTTCAACATCAGTTTGCTCACTTTTTAAAGCAAGTTTCACAAATATTCATCAGCATTTCAGTGCAAATTTCTCCCAATTTACACATGTTCATATGCAGTTTTGCCTTATATACGTGTTTTTGCAATGCAACGTTTCCGAATATAATGCATTTATGTACACAATATTTGGTTAGAGAACTGCATCACAAAACTCAGAGAAGTGCAAAGGATGGTTGTGTTTTGGTTCCTGTATTGTTTCAGAAAGTGTGCATTTTGTAGGTTCACTTTTAAATGCAAACTGAATTGATATTTTTCTCCCATCCCTACTCATCATAACTGGGGTTAACCTGAGCTTCACCACTGCAGAAATGAATTCCAAACTACCATGGAGAATCTTGTGCTGTGTCACACACCATTCCCCATTTTGACCCAGGCTCAGCACAGTATCCCGCCTACGTGCATGCAGTTGTTGAAGACGGAAGAGCTCCGCTCATAATACATTCTTGCATCTTCACATCAGGCACCTACATAACAAAAGCGAGACGTGCTTCTAAAAATACAAAGCAAATTTATAATTCAGAACTTGCAGCTGTAGAGCAAGCTGGCACACTCACACAAGGGACACCCGCCCATTTCATTTTGCAGTGATATGAGCTAATATTTAAGCTTCAGGCAAGATGTCTGGTGTAGTTTGCAAAGCAAGCAAATTCCCTGAAGATCTAGAAACAACCTGCAGATTTCATAGACTGTCATCTCTCATAGCCCCTGGCACCATAACCTTTTAGGTGCTGCAGAAAGCAAAGAGCAGTGTGTTGGAGCAGAAAGTTTAAACAGGATGGGATTTCTCCCCTAAAGGAATGGTATATTGAACTATGTACTGGGGGACCCTGGCTTTTCTTGGAAGCTGCTTATAAGGGGCTCCTCGGGGCAAAACTCAGTAATAGCCAACAAACTTCTCTGAAAGGTTATTTGTTCACCAATATTGAGCTTGCCCGGTATGGTGAAGCTCATGAGGAGTGTTGAATGTGCTTTATTCATTTAGAAGAGTTCTAGCCCACTTTTCTGAGGATTGCACAAATTTTACGATCAAGGTAGCTCATCACCATCCAAATAAAAAGTATCAATAGAATACAAAAAGTATAAAAAGACAAGTGAAAATAATCCTCAACATGCAGCAAAATCCTGCCCGTTTAACAAAGTTTTCACTAATCAATAAAAAATCGCAAGGGGGACAATTCAATCCTCAAGGATTGAGGAGCCAGTGTGGTGTAGTGGTTAAGAGCCGTAGACTCGTAATCTGGTGAACCGGGTTCGCTTCCCCTCTCCTCCACATGCAGCTGCTGGGTGACCTTGGGCTAGTCACACTTCTCTGAAGTCTTTCAGCCTCACTCACCTCACAGAGTGTTTGTTGTGGGGGAGGAAGGGAAAGGAGATTGTTAGCCACATTGAGACTCCTCAGGGTAGTGATAAAGCGGGATATCAAATCCAACTCTTCTTCTTCTTCTTCTTCTTCTTCTTCTTCTTCTTCTTCGAAGAGCAAGGGGTTCCATAATGTGTTCTAGGTTCTTCCACGGGATGCTTCTGAATCATTTCCTCCTCAATATTGTAGCAAGCATTATGCATGCACAATTCGCTGCCATTTTCAGCTCCTCCTTTTATTTCATGTTTTTTCTCTCTTTAGATTACCAGTGTGCCTGCATTGATAAAGTACTTAAAAACAAACAAGCAAACTGACAACCCAACCCAACAATTTTATAGAGGAATGTATTAATACAATTTTTGAGTCTTATTTCACTCACACACATAAATGCACTATGCTTATTGAACTTTTCAGTGGGACGGAGCGCAATGGAGCTGCACTGCTTACCTGGTTTCCCAACACTACCCAAGAGGAGGAAGGGCCAGGCAGGGAGGGGAGGGGAGGGGCAAGGCAGCTGGGAAATATATATGACCGCATCAAGATTGTTTTCATGCAGTATTTTATCAGTGTGCACATACACATCATTGATGTGCGAGGGGAACAGGCATATAAAGAGAAGGAACTGAAACCTGTGGCAAACTGTGTTTGGCATCCTTGTTAAACCAGAATGCAACGGTAATGAAACACAGGGCAGAGCAAACAGACGCTACATTCACACCAGGGTTTCCCCAAACGTGGAACTCCAGCTGATTTTGGACTACAACTCCCATGATTTCTAGCTAGCAGGACCAGTGGTCAAGGATGATGGGGGTTGTGGTCCAAAAATAGCTGGAGACCCAAGTTTGGGAAACACTGATTTAGACCATTATGATATCACCTGAAACAGTCATGGCTTCCACCAAAGAATGGTTAGGCAGCCCCTTTTCCTCTCACAGAATTGTCGATCTCAGAGTTCCCTGCAGCACCGTGAGTGACTGGGTAAAGATACTGTGTTGGCTCCACTGCTCTGCAAAGCCTTGATGGCGGCAGCTGGGAGTTTGGATTGCTCTGTAAAAGAGCTTATGAACATTTGTATAACCAATGCAGTTCAGTGTAAGAGCTGCCATGAAGCACAGTTAGAGCCAGGAGAAAGAATATATACCAATCATGATGGAGAAAAGACATGGCAGACTCTTGCTACTGTACAAGGAAAATGTAAAACACCCAAGTCATATTCTGTGGAGACCGAATGTGGAATACTTAACAGTGACATCTTCTCCCTATGCAATTGCCAAATGTACAAGTAGTATCTGAAAAAAATACAAGTTCATCTTCTGAGATTCCGCCTGAGCCAACTTGTAAGACTGATGTTACAAGTAAGTTTGCAGCTTGCACCAGTCAAGTTAATCAGAAACTTTAGAGATTTAGAAATGAATGACTGATTACAAGGCGTTTTTGTAATTATGATCTATTGAATTATTGTTTCTTTGAATAAAAAGGGGTGTGTGGGTGGAGAGGGTAATTATATAGTTTAGGTGGCACTGAACTGTCAGGAGTCCAGGTTCTCAGCTTGATAACACAGTAAGCGTAGTTAATTAAAAAGGATGATTTATTGTCAAAACAAACAGATAACTCCGGACGGCTCTAACACAGCCTCTGACATCATCCATCAAGATGACCCTTCTGAAGACTCCTTCTGTTTTCTGCAGAAGATGGAGAACTTTTGTGTCTTAAGTCTCTTGTTTTGTTTCCGGTCTAACAGCTCTCCCCTTAGCCGGATTGGATCAGCTCCCCCCCCCCCCTTTCTGACAAACTACTTCTGCCTCTGTTCGTGCCTGTTTGAACTTCCCGAGAGCTTTGACTGGGTTCCAGCCCACTCTCAGCTGTTCCCTTATCACCCGACATTCCAAGGGGTGGGGGAGTTGGCACTAGCTGCTGTTCATCCTGCATGAAAGTTAACCCTCTGTGTTCCTGGCTGCTTCCTTCCATTGGCTGTAAACCTTCACTGGGAGCTGGCTCATTCCTGACATGAACTTAGTTGTATCTGGGGGAATTCAGGAGCACCCTGTCAGTATTGTCCTGTTCCTGTTGTATTGCAGCTCCACATTTTTTCAGTTCTCCAACTTCCAAGTTATAAAAATATTGATAAAAATAATTTATTTGACACAAGTTAAAACCAACTAAAACTCAATTAAAATTGCATGATCTGTGGAGCTCCAGAACCAGCTATCTGACCTGTCACCATCTTAACCGGAAGTCCCTGTTCTTATTGTAGAGAGACTATAAAGATCATGTCTAGCTTCTTGGCTGGTGTGTCCCCTAGGCTGGACATGATACTTGCCAGAGTTGCCACTTCTCCTTAACAAAAAAGCAGCCATGGAAGTGGGAGAATGTGCAGCACCTAGAACCTCCAGGGACTGATGTGAGAAGACTTTCAGTGGGCAAAGGCATGGTGTGAAAGGATTAATCCCAATCCTGATTCACCCTGCCCCACTTCAATTATTTTTGTTCTTGTTAAAAAGAAAGAAGTGACATGTCCTGATTGTGTATTTAAATGAAATGCTTAGCAGAACATTTTGTTTGGTCCTCAGTTTACATGTCCCAGTTTTTCAACCAGCAGCTTTGTCATGTCTTGGTAGGAAGGCAAGAACAAGATTAATTTCTTTTTAGAAGAAGGTAAGATGTCATCCAACTTGATACAAATTCAACCTTAGTAAAATTTTATTATAACAGACAATACATGTTGTGTGTTTGACAGAAGCCTCCAGAAAGTCTTTCAGGAAGCAAAACCCAAAACTGGTCCAATAATGACTGAGAGTGCTGACTGACTACAAAATAGTGACTGATGAACCACCAGATGGGAAAGGAAATGGAACAGAGTTTTATAGAGGAGAGCATGGCTGGCTGGCTGGCTGGAACACCAAACAAGTGGGAATTTTGTTACAGGTCCCACTTGTCAGGGGTGCCCTAGAGAGGAAAATTGGACTGTCTTCCTCTTAACGAATGTCTAACATACAATGTTGACAGGTTTGTATAGTGCAGGGCAATAATGCCACAAATAGAAATGTTACTTTCCCTCACTAGAAGATGGGAAAGTGCCCTATTCTTATGTGACTCAACAGGAGAGAAAGGGGGCAAATGTTGATGATCCAGTTCTGCACAAACTAACCCAGCTCGAGAGAAAGAATGGGACGGATATTCTGCAAGCATCCCTTTGAGAAGCAAATTGTCACAGGTTTTAGACAGAGGCACTGGGTCTGCCTGCAGAACTGGCAG